TATATATATATATATATATATATATAATTATATATATATATAATTATATCATGTCATATCATGCCTCAATTTCATATCATCATACCAGGGAAAAGTAATGAAACCCAACCTACAGCAAATCCAAGTTTTGAATATATTAAGTTTCAATTTTGAGATGGAATATGTAACTGCAAGTCAGCAACAGACAGAAAAATTCAACAACACAGTCACTTAATAAAATGAGTTGCTGTAGTGCCAAGAAAGCAAATATTACAGCTGAGAGCCATTTATGTCAAATGGTGGTGTTTGGTGGTGTTGATGTTACTTGGTGCATGTTGTTGCTCTACTGTAGAAATGGTTCTGCGCCTTCTTCTCCCAAGTGCTATACTCCCCCTGAAGCACCAGCAGGCGTGGTGTCATCACCATCCCCACCTTTGAATAGCAAACATATGGTAATAATGTTCTTCCATTCAATGACCAGAGACCTTTGAGGTTGGTGGGGTTGGGCTCAATAAATGTGTTACTTTTCTGCCTTTGACAGCATCCTCATCCTCCAGCACCTTTCTTTTTTTGTTTCTCTCCCTCTCTGCGCTGCATTCCCTCTTCCTTTTACCCCATTCTTAGACTGAGTCCATTGCTTATTATCCTCACTTGCACTGCTCGCTAGCTACACACACCAAAGCAGTCGGCACCAGACACACGTCACACAAGCCTTCCTCCACACGCTGCTGTCTGTGTCCCTCCTCAAATGCTACTGGCCAAAGTGGCCTGGTCTGTCACTTTGATAGGCGTGCCGCCAGTGCAGCTTTAGGGCCAGTCCGGGTATGGCGCCTGTACATGAAATTGGAAAAAAGGCTGCAACAAGTTAGCATTACAACAAGAGCATTCCGTAAAAGTTTTTAAAAATCCACTGGACTTGGTTTCCAAAATTTGAAGACGTTTCGCCACCTCTCCAGGAAGCTTTCTCAATTCAAATGTCTGGATCCGCAGTGAGTTTGAGCATGTTCCAAGTACCTTTCCATATTACCTTCCCCTGCAACATCATACCTTTTTGCAGTAATATATTGATAAGTCATATCTAAATCTGATTTAGGCAGACCAGTTAAACAACCCCATTTGGTGTAGGCTGAAAAAATGTCATTACAGTGCTTTTCCAACAAGGTTATGCAGGGCCTATTTATATTGCCAATTCATGAATATACTGTACCCATGTTCAAAGCTCAGCACAGCAACTATGAATGAAACAACAACTTAGTGATAAATTATACTTTTGTCATCATTCAGTATTCAGAAAATTATAGGCTTCAGAAATAATTAGAGGAATAACATTTATTTCACACAATGTAAATTGTGTAACATACTATACACCCATTGTCTACAATGGGTGTATAGTATGTGCTGATACAAATATAGGTTACAGTATATTCAGCATGCTATCTTACGATTGTCCCATTTAGCAGTTTTCACAAACCCAAAATGAGTCCTTCCTAGGAAAGTGCTAATGGGGTATTTGCATGAGAAATGGGACTTAGTTGTGATTAAAGGTTTGGGGAACTGGAGCCCGACCATAATTTGAAATCCCAGGTTTTATCCCCTCTGATTCTTATTATTATCCTTTGAGATTTGAATTTAAGTTGAAACATAGGATGCTTTTACACAGCGTCCATCAGTTGTTTGCTGCTGCTGCCTGCAGGAATCAGCTGATCACAGACAGCCAATACATAAGATCTTGTGCATAATTTTGCAGCTTCAGAAGCTTCAAAAGATTTGTACTGTTGCTGAAAAAATAGGAGAATCACTTGATCTTATTATAATCATATTAATAAAGAGTAAATATGTTGTATGTTTTGACCACAATGCAATAGTATTGTGATTTGTAATCAAAAGTAGGAATGAAATAAATGTTAAATATGGAACGGTTCTTTACATGGGAGCAAGTTATTTACTACTCTTAACTCAAACTGGGTAAAATCATATAAAAAAGGACTATAAAACAGGAGTAAAAAAGTAACAGAGGTTATTCCATGTCATGTTGTTACAGGACAGAGAAATTGCTTAGGGTTGGCACAGCTGTGGGCTCAAAAAAAAAAAACGTCAGCGAGCATCCGGCAAAAAATAAGCAAAGATTGAGCCCCAAACAAGGTCATCTTCTCCTTCTTATACATCATTAGTCCATGTTTTGCATCAGGTGGATACTTAACTGTCCGTATCAGAAACTGACACGCCATCCATGCCTTGACCTTTATGCATCTTGCCTCTTTACACCACGATTACTCATATCTCTCCTTTATCAGACCGGCTCCAAGATATGCCCATATCCTGTGTATTTTTAAAGACACGAAGGCTGTCCTGATTAGATGGCCTCCGTGCACACAGTGATACTGTATCCACCATGTGAAAGAAGGCCCTCTGTTTAATTTGGTTAACAGAATAACAATGCACATCATGTATAAAGAATAAACTTAACACAAACGTTTTATTACGTGTTTGAAACACTGAAAGCAGCTATGTTGGAAGATACGTTGTCCGTGCCTATTCAGGTAATTCGTTTGAAACCAAAAACGGATAAAACAAAGCACCTAGGAATTTAAGTTTTCTGTTTATGCCAAAAACCACAAAAACCATGATCTGATTTCCACTTTTGTTTTTTGAAGTAAACGAACATGGACAAAAAATTTAGCTTTATAGAATTTCTATGTATAGTGTTTGAAGTGAATTAATTTTTTTATATTCTACAGACTTCACCCTGTGGGACAGAGAAAATATTAAAAAATTCACCATAAGCAAGACCCAGAACAGCAGTGATTATGAAACTATTGCTTCAGACACTATTGCAGCCAAGACTTCCCTGCTAAAGGCTGATGAATCTCTCACAGCCAGTGTTCTGAGTGGTCTAATTGATGTTGGAGCATCTGCCAACTATCTGAATGATAAGAAAGAGTTCAGGAACCAGAGCAGAGTCATCCTTCACTACAAAGCAA